ATAGATACATGCCTGGTAAGCTAATTAGTCTTGTAATAATTTAAAAAAAACTATTGTTATGTATTTAAGATAGGCTAATGCTAGCAACCAAAGGGAAAACACCAATGGTATAAGTGGAATACACAAAAGGACGGCAGGGAATATTATAAAAATCCATTACTTCGTGAAAATTCGTCCCGAGACTTACACTCTCATCGAATGTTTGTTCTTTGCTGGATTGTCACTCGTGTGCCTGTTTGTCCCTGCACCTTGCTGATCTGTGGGTTGAGTAATGGTGTCATAAACCATGATTTCTAATCATAACCATGATTATCCAACAGATGCCCTTGAGGTCAGCTATCTCATTCAAAACCCAAATGCACGTAAAGTACTAAGAGACATCGCTCACCACAATGATATTTTGGGGGGCATCAAAAACAGACAACAGGATGAAGGAGTAGAAGTTGACATGGTTGATGTACACTACAGACTGATCGACTCTCAGTACCTGTCTGCACATTTCCAGAGTCGACAAGACTCAACATAAAACAGAATATAGTAATTGCTGTGCCAACAATGTATTTCATATATATTTGTGGCAATGGATGAGCCTGTTAGACTGCTGCAAATGCATGTGTACCCAGCACCTTCTCCAACTCCACAGAAATCACTTCCTGATGATTGAAAAATAAGCTGTTTTCCAACACTGCACAACCTTACTGTTATTATCTCACTCACAACTCTGAATTTCATATATACGCCAAAGCTTGACATTTGCAGATCTTTAAAATCTCTCTCTTGTATATGGTCTCCTCCTGTCTGACCCTTTAGATTCTTGAATGTTTCAATCTGTTGCCAAGAAGAGATTGATAGCTGCTGTAATTAGTGGGAGGGGGCTATTGCTGCGCTGCTGTTCACACTGGAGCCATTACCTAGAAAAGATTAAGACTTGATGAATGTGATCTACACCACTGGTTTCGTGCAGTACCTGACAATTCCAAACATTCAACATGATTTAATTTTTCTCATCATGTTAAATCTATCTGGCATTAGTAAACTGGAGTTATGATTATTAAGAATAATAAAAATCATTGTGTTTCATATAAGATCCTTCACATCAGGAGGATGTCTGAAAGCGCTTAATAAATACCCCTTACACCAACATTTCAATAGATTGTCATTTTTCACAAGGTAGCAAGTCAACAACTGAAATATTATCTGCCACTTCACAAATCTACATTTCTCTCTAATTCTCACTTTAGTGCTTTCAGTTAAAAAAAACATGAAATAATGGAGATTATGTTTGCCCTGGTTCTCAGGAGAATTCAGATCTGTTAGGTACATGTTTAGAATTTGAAATGGTACTTTTAGCAATCAGAGTAAGTTGGACACCAATTTTCAAACTCTTCAGCAGATCGCTTTTTGTGCTTTAAGGAGCTGAATCTCAAGTAATCACAATGTAACAATGATTCTTTCAACTGGTTCGATGCAAATATATTTTGTGCCTTTTTCTCCCTAGGGATCACTACTTATTTAGTCCTGCATTGTAAGAGTTCAATGGCAGGCTAATACCAAACTGTCAATTGCAATTGCAAGCAGTCAGGTATCCCCAGATGGCTGAAAATGTTAAATATATTTTACAAAAAATTTCCAGAAAATAAATGACTGCTCAAAGAAATTCTATCACATCCCTAACAAAACACAATATAAGATTTTATTTCTTTAAATGCCAGTTTACTTTAGCTTGTAGATGCCAAATGTAACGTGGAACAGTTTTTCTTTTAAAACATCATAAATGCAGATTACAAATATAATCTTTTCACATTTTTGCAATTTAGTCATGCTGGAATATAATCTTGATTTATGATTCTAATAAAATATCAGGATCAAAAAGTAATTGCCACACTTTGGAATGAAATGTTGGAATCAATATGTGGAACTGTTGATAATGGAACCATATTACTGAGAACCATTGAGCAATCCGTTTTCCAGTAAATGTAACCTTTATCAGAGTTGAAAGGGATGCATTGATTTCATGACCCATTTTCTATTACATATAATTATCACAATCAGAGAAAGATGTGGCATAATTATCAAGGGTTTCACACATCACTGAAAATCTGCAATACTGCAACATTTGCATTCAAAATTGAAAAAATCCTCTTTTCATAGGAACTTCAGTCATTGGGGGAATCTATTAATTTATAAATTGATACTCTGCCATGCTTTCCCATGCAGGCAGAAAGTTTCCAACTTTAAGGCAAAATAGTTGCCAGCCAATTTCTTACATAGAACAAAATATTTCCATAGAGTGCCCCAAAGGCTTACATTATGCAAACAAATGGATTTAACACAAAATCCTCCAATTTTTACCTCTCTGTTATACGCTGCCTGAACTCAAGTCACTGAAATGAACACAAGAAACATAAAGCGAGAACATAAAGCAAGAATAGGTTTATAATAGTATTTTGAATAAATATATAAAACACTCCTGCAGAGTATCTAACTTCCATGTTTGTTCTGTCTCTGTAAAGTGCTTTGAAACATTGTGCTATGTGGGAGGCATTATACAGGTGCAATTTGCTGCTGGTTTGAAATATTTATCATTTGTGAAAAGCGAAGAGCGACCATATTGAACAATAAAATAATATCCACAATTATTTTCAAATGAGAATTTGACTAATATCTTGAAAAGTGTACAAGAAATAAGCAAGGGATTAGGACTAAATGGATTGCTCTTTCAGAGAGCCAGCACACGCACAATGGGCCAAATGGCTTCCATTCGGTCTATGGGATTCTCCCATTCTATGAACATCTGTGCACCATACAAGCTAAGAAAAAAACGATGCAGCCAATTGCGCACAGCAGTATCCCACAAACAGTCTTGGATTGAGTAACCATATTCTTATTTTTTTTATATAGGGATTATTATCCCCGGAAAAGCGATCCACCAAACAACTAACAGCCGAGTTCCTACTTACTGCTAGGTAAACAGAGGCATGTGGAGTAAGGAAACTTGCCCAACATTTCGTCCTGCCGGGAATCGAACCCAGGTCTCTCGCTTGCGAGGCGAGTGCTCTAACCACTGAGCTACAGGACTCCACATAGAGGTTACTTCTGGGAACCGAAGCAGAACAAATAGTGTGATTTAAAAAGATACTGAACTTAAAACAGAAAGTTTCAAAAATAAAAACGATTCCAGATACTGTGGGGAAAAAAATTAATACCTACTGCGTTACTAACTTCATCTACCCTTCCATGTCATTTATCCGAATCCCATTGAAATACTCTTTGACCTCCCTCACAGTTACCTCTCCCTCCATCCCTCCACCTTCTCCCTTGGGACGTCCTCCTGACGTGAAACGCGCTGTACAAATGTAATCTTGTTGTTGTTGGTTGTACTCTGAAGTGAGCTGAGACTTCATCCAAACTGAAGGACACTATATAAATGCAAGTTTTTGTTGTTGAGTAAATAGATTCCATTAGGGAGCTCAGCACAAAATCAAATGGCCACCTTCTGTACTGTAAACTTTCTATGATTCTATGGTCCCCAAGGGGCTGTTAACAGGCTTAAGCTGTGCAAATCACACTAGTATAGATTTTGTGACCAGAAAGACTAGATTGTTTCTTCCGAAAGCCCATGGGTCAACTGGGGAAGAGATGGGATTGAAAGACTAATTTGTTTATTGTTGGGCGGATCAATCTCAGTAACATTCACCAATTTTAGCTGGAGTATTTTGCTTTGACTGGCTTGGTCTCATTCCGATTCTTTGGAGGACAACACAATCTCTAACACTTGTGCTGCATTTGGGTAATGGCTTCAAACCAATTGGATACCAGTGGCTAAGGGTGACATTTTTCTTATTCAAAAACTAGAACGTGATCAAGCTAAATACACATGGAGAACGTATTCACTGCACTTAAAACATTCAGAAGAATCAATAATTCCCATCATAAATATAAAACATGAGGAAATTTGGTTAAAAAATACAACAATCAGATTTTCTTTCTTTAGTAGATAATGGGATTTTAAAAAATCACTATATTCACTGGGCTTGATTTAGACAGTTTTCTTTGTATTTCAGAGTAACCAGAATTTTGGAAATTCATAAATATAATCATAATTTTGAAGCTGCTTTTCTGGAAATTGATTTAGGACAGAAGAATATTGCAGACTAAATTTGCACATGAGTTACTGTGAATGAATTACACAGAATTATGCAGCACAGAAAAGGCTATTTCACCCAACTAGTACATGCTGCAAGTTTATACAGTGGAACTCCATTATAACAACAACTTGCATTTATACAGTGCCCTTCATCCTTAGCAGTGTCTCGGAACATCACATGCTTTGTAGAATGTGAATTCCCTTTAGCAAGATCCCTGACATTTACTTACCAAACAATCCAAGATCGCCACAGAAAGCTGGATGTCTTGCTTCAAATCAGTTTTTGTGCTCCAAAACGATGATATAGTTTTAGCACAGTGTCATAGTTCAAGCCTGATACGCACTGATTCTGTTGACTGGCTTTCTGCACATATACACAAGAGCCCTCACTGGCAACCAATCCATTATAAGGCAGATTTGATTTTGTGGACCCCCAACTACTGCCTTATAACAGGTTTCTACTGTAATGCGAACACAGGTATATCAAAGGAAAGTAAACAGGCACACATAAACGTTATCTTGGTAGAAATTGTTGCAACCATGAAAGAGACTAAAAGGATTAAAGTAAAGCCTTAGGTAGGCAGCATAAGTGCACCACAAAGGTCAGCGACAGCACTGTGATATCTGGAGCAGGAATAACTGATATGGTGCATTAGTTATCGCATTAGAGGACTATAGGGATTGCTGGAATTAGGAAACATATCAAACATAAATGCAGCACAACACTGCTGCCCTCAATACTGATGCATCTCGCAGCAATTGAAAGGGTCATCCTGTTTTTAGTTGAGATGAAGAAACCTTTTCACAATACCTTCTCTGTTGTAGTACTTTGCATCAAAAAGCAAATTCTTACCTCATACACATTGAACTGCGATTGTCCTCTGGACAATTCTCTGTAACTGGTAGTAAACTCTCCGATAAAATCGTGGCTGTAAAATACAAATACAATATCATGCTAAAGCTTTGGTTCATACAGCGCAATCTCCAGACAAATACGGTCAAGAACAGCTAACTACAGATTGGTGTACTTTTTACTATGTTGAGCTGATAACCAAGAACCAAGTGAAAAATTCTAATTGCTCTGAGCTAACACAGTACTTATGAATGGAAAAACAGGAGGAAAGGCTTCGCAAACTGAAAAGCTACAGCCCTGTCATTATTGCTGATACAATCTTTAATGTTAACTAAAATCTGTAATCTGTGAAATCCTAATCCTGATTGTCTCTAAATTTCATCAATAATAAATAATAATCCTTGCATTTGCTATAGCGCCTTATCACATCTTTGAGACATCTCAAAGCCTTTACAGCATATACTGTAAAGTGAATTGACTGTATATTTTGTGGGCAAAATGTAATCAATGACAACAAAAATCAATAGCAACTGATGTTTGAAACATTCCTATGATGCTATCAAGACTCATTGAAAAAGCTTCACATTATATTGATTTTCATGTAAATAGGCTTCTAATAGTTTTTTCATCTCACTGGTAGTTCGTTACGACAAAAACACTATGAACATTAGGTGCCCATCACGGCTTTCTCTTGGTAATTGTGATTTTTTTTACTTAGCATACTCGCTGTATTTCATTATTAAATGAGTCAGAAAAGGCTGCAAGATTATATGCATGAATGTTTTTTGTACAGATCCTACACTAATGTTATTTGTACAGATCTTACTTACACTAATGTCATTTTGTGCTGAATAAATCTTGTACGACTGAATTTCAATTCAGAAATTAGAAGAAATTAGAAGCTGGAAACTCCCCCCACCCCGTGTTATTAATGCAAAAGAGGCATGGTCTCATTGCACCTTGTTTCTATATCTTAAACTTTAAGTATTATTTTATGTAGTTTAGATGTGCTTAGCAGACATACACAGTTGCAAATTAACACACATTTACAAACTCAAAATTGTATTTTGATATTTAAGTTTAATGTGGAAGGCAGAACCCAAGAATGCCAGTTAAACCTCAACCCAGTTCTCCATTAATATTACAATTTGTCAGTAAATGTTTCGTTCCTGTCATATTGCATGATAACTGAGACAGGACTGGGTGATTATTCACTCCAACAGCACCTGATTGTCATTATGGAATCACAACTAATTGTTCATTGTAGTGATATAGAAGTTACTCCTTAACGCACTATAATGCTAAGGTATAACGTAACTAGAAACCATGCAGGCATAACTATACATGCCAATCACAGTAAAGCTATTTATATAACATTGCTAAAAATAGAAATGTCTTTAATGTGCATATGTAGTATTGTGAAAACATTTATGAAGCAGTTACAAATCTTACAACTTATGATGCAGGAGAAAGATAATTCACGAATAACTGCCTTCCTAACACATTTTATACTTGGACAGAAGTGAATTAGAAGGCAGGTCTACAGATAAGCAAACAATAAGGGTGATTCATTCTTGGGAAATGTTTTATCATAGGATTTGCTATCTTTTTTATACATTTCTTATATACATTTATGTTTGACAAAATAGAGAAAGAATTAAAAGATTTTAAAATTAAATTCAAACACAAGTAATTTTGAGTTTAATATTTAACAAAGGGGATTTATATTTAAAAATACCTAAAGAAGAAGCTAAAGTGGCAGCAAATTGCCAGTTGCTTATTATGGTTTCTGAACTGAAAATAGATAATCTGTTAGATTGGTAAACTAGAAATTATCACAGTATTTGGAACTGAATTAGAATAATAGTACTTCAAAAAGTCTGACTTCACATGGATAGCCTTCCCTGAACAAGCTATAAATCTGTATTTAGTAACTTTGTTCTATTTTTTGAATCTTTACTACAGAGTTCAATTCATTACACAGCAAGAGGTAGTGTGGGATGTGAATCATGTAGTTGCGGTTTGATGGATGCTTCCCTCATAGAAGCTTTATCCTCTGCTACCAAAGTTAGTGACCTGAGAATATTCACAGGCTAATGAACATCCTGGAAAATGTGACACTTTATTTTTCATAAATGTTGTCAAATGACAAGACCACACATCATCAAGGAAAACAATTCTCTTCCTGCAATGTATCATGAGGTTGTGGCCAGAACAACAGAGGTAGCAGGAGCAGCAGTTATAGAAATATCACTGTAGTGTGGAGTCCTATAGCTTAGTGATTAGAGCACTTGGCTCACAAATGAGAGGACGTGGGTTCGATTCCTGGGCAGGGTGAAACATTGGGCAAATTTCCTTACTCCACATAACTCTGTTACCTAGCAGTAAGTAGGAACCCAGTTGTTAGTCGATTAGCGGATCACTTTTCTCGGGGTAATTATCTCTTAAAAAAATAATAATTTGGTCACTCAATCCACGGCTATTTGTGGGACACTGCTGTGTGCAACTGGCTGCCGTGTTTCGCCCACAAAATATACAATCAATTCACTTTACAGTATGTTCTGTGAAGCGCTTTGAGACGTCTTGAAGGCATGATAAGGAGCTATATCAAATGCAAGGATTATTATTATTAAATATCACTAGCAGCAAGACAATTCACATAGAAAAAAAATTCAAGAAGAATGAGATATAAACATTTATTGGGAGGGTATTAAAAGCATTTAACATTTCAAAATTTAAAAATTATTTCCGTAATATATTTTTATCCACTGTTATGCATTATTTATGCTATCATTGTTTTGGAAGATGACAACAACAACTTGCACTTATATAGTGCCCTCCACACAGGGTAGTGTCTCAGAGCACTTAACAGCCTGACTCCGAGCCGGGGTGGGGTGGCCATAAGAGCATGGTCGAAAAAGAAGGTTTTCAGGCGGGCCATGAGAAAGGTGAGAGAAAGGGCAAGGCAGAAGGATTGAGGGAGAGTGTTCCAGAGTTTCGAGGCGTAGTGGCTGAAAGCCTGACCTCTGATGGTGCGGCGGAGGGTGCAAGGGACGAGCAGGAAACTGGTGCCAGTCGAGCGGAGGCGCTGGGTGGTGGATTGGGGAGTGAGCAGGTCGGAGAGGTAGGGATGTGCCAGAGAATGAAGGGATTTGAACACAAGAGTGAGGATCTTGAAGTCAATCCGTTCGGTGATGGGGAACCCAGTGGAGCCTGGCCAGAACTAGGAGATGTGGGGACGGAGTTTGGTCCAGGTAAGTATGCAGGTGGCAGAATTCTGATGAGATTCTCTCATTTTAAGTTGTTGTTGTCAGAGAGACAAATTGTCAGTTGCTTATTATGGTTTCTGAACTGACGATAGATAGTCTGTTAGATTGGTAAATGACTCTCATTTTCAGTTTAAGTTGCTATCTTCCCTTTCAACTCTCTGGAGCAATGGTTGAATGGTGGTTCACATTATCTTTTAAAAGGGAGCTAGATTGTGCCAATCGACGCCCAAGTACACGAGTGCTTCACTAAATTTAAAAAAAACTCTAGAGGAGATATCTAACATCAATTCCCCAACTCCCTAAGTTCAATGTTGCAGAACTGTCTTGACAAACAACAACAACGAATTGCATTTACATAGTTTGCTTCATGTCAGGAGGACGTTCCAAAGTTCTGGGCAATGAGGGGTTTTGCACTCAAGCTGCGGGTTGGGATCAGAGAGGGGTGGACGGAAAGGGGATGGAGGATGACATCAGCACTGGATCAGTGTCAGTCGGGGATCTGTTCCCATTCAGTGTAATCAGAATCATCTGTATTGCTAAATTGCCCTCAATGTTTAGGATTTAATGTAAAAGAGTAACTATGGCTTTGAAGCCTTTAATATTGCAATATAACTACTGAATATATATATAATAAGATTATAATACATATGATTCTATGAGGATTTTGCCTTTGTGATAAAGAAACAAAGCGGCATTCTGTTGATTTATTTTTAATGATGCGCAAGAACTTGTATATAATGACTGCAGTTTTCAAAAGGTTATATTGCAATGGAATCTTAAGTGAGAAATAAATAGCAATGGTTTCTGTAGAGGAAAAAAAAAGGAAAATGCTACCTTCCATCTCTGTCCCAGTCATAGACTTCCATTTTAATAGTTCTGTCAAGATAAATTTAAACAGAATAAGATACATTTATATTATATGTACTTTAATTAATAGCAAATTGCTATTTCTGGAATAGGTTCATGGCTGTCATAAAGCGCACATATTTTTCTAAATGATATTTATTGCACATGACATTTATAAATTAATCATGTAGTATAGTCACATTAGGTCAAAGAAAGAACATTTGCAAAGGCCCAACACAATATTGTATTCAATATTAAATCAAAAAAAGTAATTGTCTTGCTAAATACGGAAATTTGACAATTAAACATTGGGAAGGCAAGGTGGCTGACTGGACCGAGGCAGTGACCATTTTCAATCTCAACTGAGATGTTTTTCAATCAGACCAAATCATTTGTCAGAAAGGTCAACCCTCCTTCACTAATGGCTGTTAATGGTCACTTGTGAAATGAGAAATAGCATTCTAAATATAGACTGTAATGCACGTTGTGAGAAAAAAAAACATTGGATAAGTCATGCAGTTACAGCTATGGGAGATGTATTTTGAACATGTCAAAATTTAAATCCCACCTCACCAGCAAAGGGTACTATTTCAAGGTTAGCAATTAGAATTATGTCAAAATAATTCTAGAAATATGGGAGAGCATCACATGCTTATACCAGCTAACAATCCTTGCTTGAGGATCACTTTGCCACAAGTTTGAGTGCAGTAATACTGGACACAAAAATCTGTCAATAGCTTTTATTGTACTTCATCTCAGTATGTCAGGCTGTGTGTGGCCTGCAACACACCGTTCTTTCATTTCAGTGGAGAGTCCAATATCTACATTATTTGGCAACCAGGCCACTATGGGTATAAAAGGCAGTACAGATACCAGATATTTGTGTGACTGTATGCACATGTGTGCGCATCTCTCGCGTGCTCTCTCGCTCTATCTCTATCTGTCTGCCTGTTCTGTCTGTCTGTCTATTGCTCTATCTATCAATCCATTTATGAGTGTGTGTCTCTCGTTATTCCTTTGAATATCTGGATCACATCTCTCCTTCTCATTCTGAAAATATTTGTGTGCCTGGCAACTTTATGTATATTTACGAAACTAACATTTTTTGCTGACACTGCTGCCTGACGTCACTTCCACATCAGGGTCTGCCATATGGATAATTGGCACAGCTCATTCTACTGCATTTAATTTCAATTCACTTTCTTTGTCTTTTCTCTTGTTTTTCAGTTACTCAGCATTCTCAGATCCATGAAAACTCCTGTATTTAGTAACAACCCGTGCATTTGATGGAAAATTATAAACCCTGCCAAATGCTGCATTTTACTGCTCACTTTCAAAATGATTGGAAAAATTCTCAAAGCATCTGGGTATTGTTGTCTTTGGGCTAGCAGTAAGTGCTGACAACGCAGATAGTTCTGTACTGTATTCCTAACATCAGCGAGCAAAGCAAAAGCCCAAACGAGAATGGCGAAGGGAAAAAGCACAGACAGACAGACAGACAGACAAAGAGAGAGAGAATACAAAAAAAAAAGAGAAGGTAACTGAGGGACAAAATGAACTAGTAACAACAGAAAAAGTGGTAACACAAGCAAAATAGAAGGCATAAAAGCGAGTGATTATCAAAGCTAACCATGAGAACAAACTGTAAGAAAAACAGACTGATGAACAGTGCAAGAGAGAGAGATATGTATACGTTAGATCAAACTATCTTAAATTTAATTGTTTCCATTATTTTTACATTGCACTTCTTTCACAAAGGATTTGCAAGCAAAGCACTATAGTCTGCAGGAGAGGATTGCAATCTGAAAACACCAAGATAGTTGCTTTCTCATCTCCTTACTACTTTGTAAATTTCTAGAACAGAAATTCGTACCTCTATGTATAATATTTTGCACTGCCTTTGTCTACAGCAAAACTTAACAAAAACTATTTAAATAAGTGCGCCAAAAGCAATGTATTGTTAAAAACATTAGCATTACTTTTTGATTTATTTCATTTGGATCATTTTCAAAAATAGCTTGTTGCAGAATACCTTTTAAAACAAAGAAATATGTTGCTAATATCTTTAAAACTGTTCTTCATGACCTCAAATACATGTATTTGTTTGGCTGAATATAAAGCAACACTTGATGGTAGTTCTGTATTATAATTCTTTTCCTAGTTGTGCACAATTATTCACAAAAAGTCAGTTTTTTATTAACCAAGATGTACACCCACATATACAGTGCTAATAAAGCAAAGTCGCTCATATAACACAATAACTTTTTATGATATGGTTACAATGGAATCAGGTCATCAATTCACAATGTATTGCAAACACAAACATAGTTGGTGTGTAAAAAAAAAACAATAATGGGTGAGTGGGATTGTAAATTCATTGTAAATTAATCCCTCATTAATCCCTTATTGTAAATTAATGCCCTTTAACTGAGCCACTTCTCTCGGCTGATGGAACCTTGGATTAATGTTTCAACCTGCACGAACACAGCACACCCTCAGAACCGTATTGGTGTCAGTTGTTGAGTCTTTTTTTGAAGGCAGGCATCTTCGGAAATTGGCTTTAAATCTGGACATTTATTTATGGTTTTAGGATGCATCAGAATGTGTTTACTAAATCTAAACCAGTTATTTCAGCCCTGCATATCACTTGACTGTGCATTATCCAAGTGCCCAACATGAAAAATAAATTGATGCATTATAAGGTGGTGAGGACAGGAGGAAAAGGGTTGATTCTGGGATTTATGATTTTAAGTTTAATAAGTTTAATAGACTGATAGAATTTAACTAATTTTGACTGAAGAAAAGACTGAGTGTGACACATGAATCAGTTTAATCATTTATTGAACAATGTGAGACACGAACAGACTGTTGTGTGCATGTGGCACTGAAGATCATAATATCACATTAACAAACAGAAGAAACTAATGTAGTATTGATGAACTGATTCCTAAAAAAAACTTATGTTAAATATCTGATTGGGATTGAAAATGAATATGGACAGAGATAATCAAGTTACATGTGACAAAATGGTTTATGTGCTGCTTTCCACAGATCACAACCAAGACAAGAATGAAAGGGAGAGAGATCCTACAACTTTGCCTTATTATTCGTATAGATCAATAAGACTTTGTAGATTTTTTCCTGATCTGAGAAATTAAATAAGTAGGATGGAGTTCCCTGAGAGCATGGAAAGTTGATGATATGTAGAAGGAGCAGGAAAAAGGTTTGGGTGGTTTTATAGGGAATTTTTCATTGCATGCTTTCTTATGTGCATATACTCTCAGGGCAAGATCCATGTGCATAGTTTTGGAAGTCCATGACTTTCATGGCCTTTATATTGTACCAAACAAGTATATTTTGCTCCATTTGGATGGCAGGCTGTTTTGGACAATTAAGGGAACAATTTGTTCCTAATAATAAGTTTAAAGTGATATGAAATCTGTGTAATGGGTTGAAAGTTTGAAAAATAACATACATGAGTTGTGGCTTTCTAATGTTGTGTTTGCATGTTTTGGAACATTTTAGAAACTTAGAATAAACTACTGATAGCAATTCAGGTAGATTTTAAATTTCCATGTCTGGTTATATAGCAAATGTGCCTAAACAAGCTGTCAACATAGAAAAAAATTTCAGTTTAATATTTATGCATATTCATAATTATAGCTGTCATTTGTGAATAAGTTCAGCTTATTCCAAAGTATCCTTGGTAACCAGCTAAAAATGCATACAGATTTGCATTCATTTCCCCTACCTGTCAAAGTCCCCATTGCAGAGAGCTCGCACAGGGATTGAGAAGGCTTGCCACACTGGGTTCAGTGTGTTCTTTACAACTTCTGTTTTGTGGCAGATGGTAAATCTAGAAAAATATATGTTGAAAATTGCTTTAACCTTCCTATTGCTTTTTTAAAAAAAACTTGTCATACAGCTTGAACAAATTAATTCTAATGTACCATATCACACATATCCCAATAAATAAACATGAATAAAGAATTGGCATTTCTTAGTTACATTACCTTAAAACTGTCAGAAATACAAATTATACAAGATTTATTTTTCTTCGCTGTAAAGTAAACTTTATTTCAGGCAAATTTAGGTTTTGAGTTGAATGTAAGATTACATTTGTTTAAAAAACACACAAGAAAAATTTAATTAAAAAAAGTTTGGAAAGCAAATACCTATTTCATTATGTTTGTCTTCAATCCTAAAGAAGGTAGAATAGATCACAAGCTACTGACATACAACAACAACAAGATTCCATTTATAAAGCGCCTTTCACGTCAGGAGGACGTCCCAAGGCGCTGCACAGTTGGGTCATGACCCGAGCAGGGGGGAAATGGTCAGGGGGAGGGAAGGGAGGGAGCGAGGAGGGGGGAAATGGTCAGGGTGAGGGGCCAATACATATTGGGCCAATACATGGTTATAGAATAGTTATTCATAATGTATAAATTCTGAATGCAAGCCATGTTTGCACATGCCCTCGACAGCATTGACATTAAGGTTGCTAATGTCTATGAAGCCAGGTCACATATTCGATTTCCATGGCAGATCACACCTGGTGGTCACTAGCACAGAGACGACTGAACAAAATACAACAAGGTATGATTCTATGCTGCTGACTCTAGTTGAATGCTGTGAGCCACTTGACAGAAGTCAAATACACGACCCTGCTTCAGAAAAACCAAAGAGTTAAAGTTGAGGGGGTGGCAAAGGTGACTGCTGCAGTACAAATGGGTAACATACCTTACGAGTTACTATATTGAATTTGCATATTAGACACCATTGCAGAAGAATATGCACGTTTTGGGTATTAACTATTTTTTCTCCTAGTTTGCATTATATTATATTTCAAAACAAAGCCATTATTTTTTCCCAAAATTGTTTCCTATCCTATCCAGAGGATTCACTGATGCTGGGGTAATGTCCCAAGATCTCTGATTTCACACTGATATCCTCAAGTTGCCATTTATCAGTGAAACTAGACAATGATTGCCATTTAATCATCGATTAATTCATCCACTGGAAGACATCAAGCTCCACTCTATTCTCATTCGACAATCACACAGGAGGTTCACTGAATATGAACCAGGAATACAAACTGTCTGAATTTCTGCTTCAAACCAGAATCACGAAGGGCAAGCCTAACTAACAGAAAATAGTCTGCTAACCTCTCAGTAGAAAGCCCATGTTCTCATCCAGTTGATTAACTGGTGCGCCACAAGCGTATAGAGAAATTCCAATGGGTCATATATGTGCTGTGCTAAGGTTGCCACGATTGGTGACTTCAATCTCAATGCTGAACTTTTACTTTTTTCCCTTCAAATTTTATAAATTGCATTCAGAATATTTCACAAGATCACAAGATTGGTTTGGAGTGAACAAGGCCCTTCAGCTATCTGATCTCATCCCTCCAGCTATTTGATCTCATCCCTCCAGAGTACCTACCCTAAGGAATACCCGTCCTTGCACCACAAGCATCAAATTGCACTTTAAATGTCCAGTGTCCTGGCCTCAACTACCTTTATTTTTGCATTTTTTTACACATGTTTAATATGAATTCTGAACAATAATACTTTAATTGTCAACAATTTCAACTTAAGTCAGGTGGTTTAGCAACAAATAGACAGTGGAATTTGCAACTGGTATAAGAATTTGCAACTAGTGAATCCTGCCGATATCTGAATGTATTATAGGCTGACCTGCTGGAACTCTGTTCAGGCATTGTTGATGCTGATCTCCTACCAAGTGCCTGGAGTTTCCTTTGGCCACAATTCAGCTTTCCTGAGATGAGGACCCAAATGGAGTTCCAGATTGTCAGCCCAAGGCATATCTGGGCATCAACAGAAATCACTAGCTGCAAAAATCTTTTGTGACTCTCACAAATTACAACCCAATACCTATTGATCCCATGAACCCAAGCAAATAATACACAACTGTTGATCCATCCATATGATTGTGTTTAATATATTTGCTAAAGTTTTTTTTAATATATAAAATTATTTAAAATGATGTTGGACCAAGGTGGATTTGGTGGTGCTACATAGAGGGGCAGATATAGATGGGAAGAGAGAGGGGACAGCGAGGAGGGGGGAAGAGAGGAGGGGGAGAGCTTGGGAGAGCTCAGGAGAGGGGGGTAGGGAGAGAGGGAGAGGGAGAGAAGACGAAGAGGGAGAAGAGAAGGGGAGGGGCGAGAGAAAGAGGAGGGATGGGAGACAGGGAGGGAGGGGAGAGAGCGAGGGTTGAGAGAGGGGGAGAGAGGAGAGAGAGAGGTAGGGGCAGAGACAGAGGGGGAGAGAGAGAGGGTGGAGAGAGGGCGGGAGAGTGAGGGGGAGAGAGGTGGGGGGACAAAGAGGGGGGAGAGAGAGGGGGAGAGAGGGGGGGGACAAAGAGGGAGGAAGGGGAGAGAGAGGGGGAGAGAGGAGGGACACAAAGAGGGGGGAGGGGGAGAGAGTGGGAGAGAGAGGGGGGGATAGAGAGAGACAAGTGAGAAAGGGGGGAGAGGGGTAGAGCCAGAGGGGGAGAGAGAGAGAGGGTGGAGAGAGGGGGGAGAGAGAGGGGAAGAGGGAGAAAGAGAGGGTGGAGAGAGAGGGGGAGAGAGTAGGGGGAGAGGGGGGATAGAGAGAGACAAGTGAGAGAGGGGGAAAGAGAGGTAGGGGGAGAGATAGAGGGAAAAGAGAGGGGTGGGAGACATGGAGGGGTGGGGGGGGGAGAGATGGGTGGGAGAGAGAGGGGTGAAAGAGATAGAGAATATAAGATTATTAATAATAATAACCCCCAGAAAAGAGATCCGCCAATCGACTCACAACCACTTTCCTGTTTGCTACTGGGTAAACAGAGGCTCGTGGACTAAGGAAACTTACCTAACATTTTGCCCTGCCTGGGAATCAAACCCAGGTCTTCTAAGTTGCGAGGCAAGTGCTATAACCACTAAACTACAAGATGCCATAATATTTGATACCTCATGAATGTACCTCAATTGCACATTGTAAATTTTCTGCAATGTTCTGATGCATTATAGTATTTTTTTATTGCCTGAAGTAATGTCTAAGGCACTCCATGCTTCTTCAAATGGTTAGAAAATCGTCCCTCACTGAATAATCAAACTACATGACAAATGGTATGAAGAAATGGTAAGTAAGGGACGGAAATGGGAAATTATCCATTTTTTATGTAGGTCAGTATGACAAGAAGGGAATGTAATATAATTGAAAAATGCATACTTATGACAAGAGAATAGCATGTAGCTCATTCATGATTAAGCAGCTGATTCCTTACTAATATAGTATGCTATTTTATACACAGTTACTATCAGTCATATCACTGTTCATTGACTAGCAATGAATCCACTTATGCATGTAGATTATCTCAATATTTTGGATTCATTGTGATTACCTTACAGCTAATGTATATAATGTATATTACATTATGTACTTTATTATATACTACATTATAGCTTTGGAAATAAAAAGAACATGTTGCAGTCAGTTTGGAATTACAGTAACTGAGGTTGTCTAAGTTACGAGGTTTGCCAAAGAATAGTAAAATCTGCAGAAGCCCAGATATATTTTAGACCAACACTTTGGAACTCTGTTCAAATCCGATCTCAGTCATCACAAATCAGATTGTGGCCAAAGGAGATTCCAGGAGTGTGGAAGGAAATTGTCATCGACCAGCGACTGAGCGGATTTCTGGAGTGTTAATTTAAGGATTACCTGAGTACGTACAGGGTTTGCTGTTTAGAAATCTTGCCCATTAGCCGCAATCTTATTGATAACTTGCGTATATCGGGGAAACTATTTTCTGAACATTGGCACGGTTCCCAGCTTAGAGATAGATTTTTTTTATTATGTATGCATGAAATACATTCACCCCAAAGAAAATAGTTTTAATAAATCTCAGTTACATAAACATCTGTTATGTCAAAATGGTTATAAACCATGTAGCAATCTGTAAGGCGTTGAAACCTTATGTGACAACATTCGTGACTTATTAATGAAAAGTAATGGAAAATAGCAGGGAGGGGAAATAGGATAAACTTGTGATTAATAATCTGTCCTATCAAACACACACTGCACATATTCTGTATCAAGAGGTTTGCAGATTAGGTCAAACTCCTCTCTGACATTCACACCAACCCACGCAATTACTGAAAATACAGTTTTAGAGAAGCACTGCATGCATCACTGAAATCCACAAACAAGCTGTAGGGAAGGAATTATTCTGAGACTAAAGTAATTTCCTTCAATTTTTAAGCTAAAATAACCTTATTATAAAAAGTCACCACCACTTGTAACATCTGTGAATCGATCTACTGGAAAACTCATTAATTTTTGCAAAACTTACGTTCCATCCTCGTTGCTCCTAAAGAACACTAGAAAAGGGTCTGACTTTCCAAAAAAGTCTTTTTTATCTAATTTGTTGGCACAAAACTGCATCACCACAACATCCTGCAAAAATAAAAACAGGATCAAGTATGAAAGAAAGCAATCAAAAAGTTATTTTATGGTAACTGCACAGCTTATCAGTAAGAAACACTTATCCAGCTAGGATTGCCCTACTACTGAGGGCTTTAGCTCACTGGGTTCAGGTCACATCCATAGTTCCAATTTTCATAGACAAATTAGACAGAGCTAGACAAAGTTGTGGAATCCATCGAACCTCAGGGAGACAGACTCTGCTTTACCTTCTTCCCCTGAAGATGAAGGGAACAGGAGAAGGTCAATGGTATCCTTGAAGGAGGCTAGGTTTGAATTGTTGAGGTGAACGAATATTCTAGAGTTTATTCTTTCTCATTCCATGCTTTCTTATATTTTTATGTTCTCAACTTCTAGGCAGATACAGTGAGAAATTTGGACAGAAATATTTGTACTGATGTTCTAACAAGAAATATTTGAACATCCGAGAGCTGAGATTCTGGCTGTTTTCTATGTAGCCACGTTGACGATATTAACCTATATGGGATTTCCCCAACATAATTGTGCATTACCAAAGTCTCAATATGGAACTGTCTGAAATTTCAGCCTTCTGCAGCTGTAACTGTAGAAACATATTATTGACTTATAATACCATTAGTCACTAGAATCTAGAAGCCCTGTGTCCAGTGTTTACTGCTAAATAAGGATTGATCTGTCAATCAGAAAGTGAATGGCAATGAAGCACAGCCATTGATCACCTTGAAAAGGCAGCTTGCCTGAGGCATTGATGAGCTTCGATTCAGGAGAACTGCAGGTGGTTCATGTCAATTCAGACTATTAATAGGCATTAACCATATTAAACATTATTATTCCACATCAATATTAATTTAAATACCTAACAGTGTATTAGAAGAGGTCTCTGATTGATTATTTTATGCATACATAATGCTGCCTGCATTCAGCCCACATATCCCTGGTCTATGCAATGGTTTAATTGCACAGTGTTCTCCTCAGCTCAGGCTGGCAGTAAATGGTAAAATTCTGCTTGGTGCTCTGATCCTGGAAGCAATGTGAATTATTCATACTTCCAGCAATCCGAACTAATTGTCAAATATATTGGTTTGGTTATTAATTTGCAGAATGAGTACAAAAATGCCATCTAGTCAGAGTGCAAAGGACTTGGAACAGGTTGTTGGGCATGACTATTGTTATCTCTTATTCGGCAACTACTATCTACTGATCCTCACAGACAATTTAGATCTTGAAGACTGAGGCATGCCTTCATTGACTGCTCTATTACACCCATTGGACTGTACAACACCTGCCTAAAATTGCAGGTATTTTTTCTACTTGCAATGTCAAAATTCATCAGACACTTTAACTGAATAGTGTATGATTACTGACATAGTGAGAAATTGGGGTGAAGATGAAAGATGCAACATTCAATGTAACTAGTAACATATCAAAACTCGAATTGTTTCAATCACTGTATATTTGCTCCATGGTAATTATCACAAGAAATGGTGCATTTTTACCTTTATTTGTAATACATCTCACTATTTGAGTATTGTTTGTGTTCTGTGGTCAGCTTTTCTATAATGTTTGCAGTTTGATATTTAAGAATCCTTATTAATTGTATCCCTCATACAATCAATAAATATAATTTGTATTCCTATAGTCTTATTATAATTCTTTAATTTAACATATTTAATGGACTGGAAACCCAAGGTTGTATGAATTCCTTTATCTATTAAGAGCGACAAGATTTTGGGGAGCTTACTATAGATTATTTCTATATGTATAGAACATTGGAGTAATTCATTCACAAATAACAATTCAGTCAATACACTCTGCAATTTCTTGATAATGTACAAGATTATTTATGAAATATTAATGCAGTTCAGCTTCACTGCTATCTACAGGAAATGGCAAACTAGGCCTATAACAGAACTAATTGGGCAATATTTTATTGGTCAATAAAGGGCCCCTGATAGAAGGGTTACTGCTTCCTTAACAACGATATTCATTCTCTACTGCTATGCGTGTATTGTCATGCCTATTTTTGTTTAAATTGCATTATAAATTGATGGTGGAAATTAAAAGAATAACTTTATCAATAACCAATAAAGAATTATCTTAAGACAGCACTTCAAAGATGCCAGTTACTCAATGCATCCATTTGTGTAAAATCTACTTTAAAATGTGGATGGGAATAAAGTACAGTTAATAATCAACCACAACATTCCCATTTCTCTCTTGTATCAGATCCAACTATGCAACTTGTAAACTGATAGGTTTACATAGAAGATCAGCAGGCATAGAATCATGTCATATAAGCGTTCTGAGACACTGTCCGACGTGGAGGGCGCTATATAAATCCAAGTTGTTGTTGTTGTAGAATTATTCAGCACAGAAGGAGGCCATTTGGTCCATCGTGTCAATCCTACTTCCCCGCTTTCTCCCCATAGTCTTGAAATTTGTCCTCCCAAAATAATTACCTACTTGTCTCTTAAAAGTTGTTATCAAATCGGCTTCCACCACACTTTCAGGCAATGCATTCTTGATCCGAACAACTCGCTGTGTGAAAAATTTCTCTTCACCTCCCCTCTGTTTCTTTCAACAACTATTTTAAATCGGTGTCCTCGAGTTACCAACCCACCCACCAGTGGAAATAGTTTCTCCTTGTTCAACCTATCAAATCCCCTCATAATTCTGAAAGCCTCTATTAAGTCTTCTCTTAATCTTTGCTGCTCCAAGGAGAATAATCCTAGCTTCTCTAGCCTCTTCTCTAGCCTCTAGTCCCTCATTCCTGGCACCATCATGGTAAATCTCTTTTGCACCCTCTCCAGTACCTTGACATCCCTCCTAAAGTGTGGTTCCCAGAACTGAACATTCATAACTTCCTGACGTTTGTATTCTACGCCCCTATTTATAAAGCCAAGTATCCCGTATGCTTTTTTAACAGAAAGCATCTGTTAAACATCTGTTGCTTATTAGGAAAGAATAAATATAAATGTTGATTACTATGAGGACTGAGTTTTGCATAGTTGGATCTGATAGTCAGATATAAAGAGAAGAGAGAGCAAGAGGATTATGCCCACAAATGGCATTTTGGCATTTGGAATTCTAACTTCAGATTCTGACAACACAGCCTGAACTTTACTATTCAATGGGGGTCACACAGGATATGAAAGTTCTAAAAAGGTCTCATTTTAATTGCTGAGACAACCAAGAAACAAAGCTGAAATTGCTAAATGGCTGGTTACAATGAAGCGAAAGAAGTGGCATTTCATGTGATAATTATTACTGGTGATGTTACCACATTGTGAGAAATTCTCCCCTGTCAATGACTCAGTCCGAAAACAATTCTGGCTTTATCAAAATGGGTTTGGCTAGAAGCCAGACATGGAGCCATTAAGACTGCCTGCTGCAGATCACAGCCTTTCAGTGCTGACACATAACTGGGCAATGCAGATGCCAAGTGTTCTGACAAAGTCCGAGGGTTGTTCACCTGTGGCCAGACGCTGACTGAGAAATCTACAATGAACAGAATTTTTGCCATTGTGATAATATCACATTCCACGTTTTTCACTCCAGAATTACAAATGAGAAGTGAAGCACAAATCATTTCCAGCATGAACTGACTGTTGAAGGGTGTTTTGTAAAAACATCAGTGGTTACAAGGGAGTTTCCTCTCTCCCTACGGAGAAGCGTACAATTCAATATTACCTTTAAAACACAGCCAAGAGTGGAAATTTATTGGAGCAAAATCCCACTTGCCTCTAAGTGAAGCAACTGTGGCAACTATTAAAGTGAACATTCAATGGGAAAATCTAGTATGAGCACATATTGCCAACATTGCTACATATAATACAATGCAGAATATTATCCCCCTTGTGTAAATTGATGCACCTACACGCACCCTAATTAAAACTCTCAATTTTCTTCTTCTAGAATGTTCCGCTGTTATTTTCTTTCTTCTCTAAACCTTTGCCATATCATTCATCATCCTCACCCACACTCCCAGCACAGTTCTATCTTTGTTCTCACATGATTCCAACTATCCTCTCTTCTGAGAAGCTGCTCCAAACATGGGAAGGTGCTCAATGCAAAGCAAGAATGGTGCAGATTTAAATCAGGAGCCATGCCAGCAAAGCCTCGCAGACTCTCCTGAGAATCTAGTGACCATTGCTGAAGTATAAGTCATTGGAAAATTGGCAGCCTAAAAAGCTTAAACCCACAATGATCCATAGCACTTGGAAAACAGTGAAAGTGGAAACCCACTTATTAGTGACAATTTTGCATTGAGAGATAATTTAGCAGATTTGTAGCATACAAGATGTATAAATGTGCAAATTCGAATAGATAATAATTAAGCATCAGATGGTGCCTCGACTATAATGGTTACACAGTATTTCTTTTGCAAAAATAATAAATAGTTTGTTCTTACACGACAATTGCTCAGCTCCTCCGCAGTTAGAATAATTGCTCCACATTTCTTTCCAGGAATTCCCCTGTTCAGTGAAAAATAACAATAATTACACATGTTTAAATACTTATTGAAGGATTAACACAATTTTCACAGTGCTTTTTTNGCTCTTGGGAACACACCAAAGGATGAGTTTGTTTCTCCTGTGCACATTTCCAGCAAATCTCACAGCATCTGTCAGCCTGGCTCAGCTGGCAGCACCTTTGAAGCAGAAAGTTGTGGGTTCAAGCCCACATCGGGTCTTTGAGCTCACAGTGTTGAAGGTGTCATTGTTTAGATGAGACATTAAACCTTCGTTCCTCTGGATTCTGGCCTCCTCCTCAGCTCCACCCTCGGCGGCCATGCCTTCAGCCACTATGCCCCGAGGCTCTGGAATTCCCTTCCTCACTCCCTTCGCCTCGGCCCCTCTCTTCCTACTTTCAGGTCCTTTCAGGTCACCTTCCTCCCCTCCCCTGGCTGGGCCCCGAGATTCATTACTGTGAAGTGCTCTGAGAGGCCATCCGGTGTGGAGGGTGCTATATAAATCCAAGCTGTTGTTGTTATTAACCAACCTCTTCAGGTTGTTAAAGATCCCAAGGCACCACTGAAGAAGGAAGTTTCTCTGGTATCCTACCCAACAATTCCCCATATAAAATTGGTCATTCACTTTGTGGCTATTTGTGAGAACTACTGTGAGAAAATTGGTTGCCACATTCATAGCAGTGCATTGGAGTGTAAGCATAGACTATGTGAGTTTCAAGTTCTGACATGGGCGAGAGTGCTACCAACTCAGCCAGATTGATACACCAACAGATCAACTATTTACGAAGTATTGAAAGTTAAAGCATATAATTAACATGTACATAACAGTGTGTAAAAAACATTCTAACTTGGTCACTCAATCCAGGACTGTTTATGGGACATTGCTGTGTGCAATTGGCTGCCATGCTTCGCCCACAAAATATACAGTTAATTCACTTTACAGTGAAGCTCTTTGAGACGTCTCAAATACAAGATTATTATTATTATTATTAACATTCATATACAGGGTGAGAAAAAAGTCTTATTTTTCAGCTACCCTATTATCTAAAAAAAATCATCGTTTCTTTAAGACATTGTAATGGTATCACAACATTTTGGTCACCCTGTACATACCAGAGGTATAGACAGCGGAATGAAAAACATTTGGTTTTCCTGATGAACCAGGTGAGTGATGAGCACAGCTTAGGGAAAGCGCTTTGCTTTATTTGGAGATGGTCTGACTGGCAGACAGGAGCAGTCACCATAAATTGTATGAGAGAATAAATGTCAGCTCAAATTCTAGCAGCTATTATTAGCACTGCAAAAGTTTATGTTTAAAACATTGTAGAAAATTTCCAAATGCACCACAAAAAGGGGAATGAAATGAAACAATCTCATCAAAATATAAAAAGCTGTCAAACGAAAGGCTGGCAATATGAAATATTATAGATGTGTTACAAGATGATTTAGAGAGCATCATCTGTAATACTCTAATTTAAAGGTTTGAAATTACAGGCTCACTGCCATTCTGACACATGGCAAAACTCCTTAATGTAATTAACACTGACTCAGGAGATCAATCCAGCTTCATACTATACAGTACTATATAATTACCATAATAAGAGCTATAATGGTAGGTACAGAACACATTAATAACTATTCTTAGTAATACATGAAAAAATAAGATGCACTTAATCTATTATTAAGAAACGCAACTCATGTCAGATCCCACAGCCCAAATACAATGGATGTCTATCAAAGTAAAGCAAAAACTTTAACATTCCCATCCAGTCCTTGTCACAAAAAAAACTATTTTAACTACAGAACCCCAAATTTGCTACAAGTGAATTATAATGTTCAACATCAAGGATATCCCCAACACTAAAGAATCAATCACTTTAGATTGAACAACAGCCTCTCCCAACACGGGCTGGGCAAAATTATACTCAGAAACAACTGGTGTGGTTAATGATGCACATAGGGTGTGTTTGCAACTTTAGAAATGACTAATATCAATAGAATTTAAAAAATACATCTATATAGTCCCTTTCATGTTGGGAATGGATCTCAAAGCCCAAACAGGAGGAGTGGAGGGAGGGAAAAAGCATAGTCTTCAGATAAACTTTAAAGATGGGGAGGTGGAGGAAGGGAGAAGTGGGGGGACTCTGGGATGGAGTTCCAGAGTGTAGGGGCAGAATAGTTGAAAGATCGCCCATTAATGAATACCCTGTGAAGTGCTTTGAGACATCTTAAAAGACGTGAGAATGCACTACATCAAATGCAAGGATTATTATTATTTAATGATGGGATGGAACAGTCGGGAGAAGTGAAGCAAAGACTTTCAGGAGGTGCAAGCATGTGCCAACGTCTATATATCTCTCATGCCCAGTTTTGTTGCTTTAATGCTTTGAGCTCCTATTGGGCAGGGCTGAGAGTTCTGCACATGCACAACAAAGCTCTAGTAACATTAAAAAGTAGTCCTTTCAAAAATTTAAAGGACCATTTATAAGCAGAGTTCAAATGCTGTATGCAGTGCATTTTAATTTCAGTGGTGTGAATTGATGCCAATATAATCCTATAATCCTTGCATTTGATATAGCGTCTAATCACGTCTTCTAGAAATCTCAAAATCCTTCACAGAATATACTGTAAAGTGAATTGACTGTACATTTTGTGGATGAAATGCTGCAGCCAATAGCACACAGCAGTGTCCCACAAATAGTTGTGGAAAAAGTGACAAAATTATTTATTTATTTTTTTGAAGGGATTATTACCCCTAGAAAAGTGATCTGTCAAATGACTAAAAATCAGGTTCCTATTTACTGCTAGGTAAACAGAGGCGTGTGGAATAAGGAAAATGCCCAATGTTTCACTTTGCCTGGGAATCAAACCTGAGACCTCTTGCTTTCAAGAGGACTCTGCTACAGGACTCCAATATCAACTCCTCAAGATGGACCCAGGAGCTAGGCTCCAACACTATTTACGTTTGAATCCACTGGACAGCTACATTGTATAATATGCTTCCTGCAAATGACTCATTATGAATAGCAGAGAACAAGGCATCAGTTTCTTAAGTATTCACTTAACCTTTCTTTGCCCTTCTTGATTCTGGATTGTTTAATATCTTTGATATTTACAGCATGAAATATTTTTTGCCAAGTTGCCCTGACTAAGAAGGTACAGTATTTGATAGAAAGTCACATGAAAGGTCCCAAACAGTTGCTTAGAGATATTTTGTTTTACTTAAAAGTTTCCATATAATTGTAAATTTTTTTTTTAGGAAACATATGAGACTGTTGCTGTGGATAAGCATCCACATCCTTAACATCTGGGACCTGGAATTATATCCAGCTCATGCTGATTTGAATGCAATTTCTCACTTTCTCTCTTGCACACAACTGAAGAAACAAGACTTGCTTGAAATAGGTTTGATTATGTTAATACAGCCCCAAATTACTCCAGTTCAACATGAATTGGCATTAAATTAGTAACCTTCAGTCAGAGAGGCCACGGTGTCTATCTTGTGTGGGAAATGGGAAAACATTCACCCAACTGGGATGCTGTACAGGGGTCACCATTTAGGTGTATTGTTGAAGCACTTTAGAGAAAGCTTTACTCGTCACCTCTGAGTGATTTAGAAGTGCTTGATGCTGATATGCAAAAGGTAGAACTGTCTTAAGTTCTCCAACAGGATCTGTGCTGAGCACAACAATTCAGAGAAAAAAATTCCAAGATAAAATGAAGTAACAATACACATTTCAGGAGTTTCATCTATGACCTGCTTGTCAGCCTTCCCAACTACTCCCTCCATAAGCTGTAGATCATCCAAAACACTGCAGCTCGTGTCCTCTCCCGCACTAGGCTCCCTGTCCAGCCACCCCACCATCGAGAGTTGAGCCTTCAGCCCTTCTACCCCCATCTATGGAACTCTATCCCATATTCCCTTCACCTCGCCCCCTCCCTTGCCTCCTTCAAGCCCTGTCTCAAGACCGTCCTCTTTGACCATGCCTTTGGCTTTTTTTCTCTCTTTGACCATGCCTCCTTCCCCCCTCCCTGATCCCAACCCTCAGCTCGGGACTGAAACACTGATTGTTCCAGCATCTTGGGACGTCCTCCCGATGTGAAAGGCACTATACAAATGTAATTGTGTTGCTGTTGTTGAAAGGGGAGGAGATTGAAAATGGAGAGAAAAAGTATCAATGCGATACATTGGAAAGGGGAGGAGTTAGGACAATAGAAAAGGAGAGGGTTCCCTGAACTCGGGGACACTTTTCGCCTTGTGTGTCATCAAGGAGGTACGTGCCTGACCTGAGAGGCTCACCACCAGGTTCAAGATTATTTTTTCTTTGTTAACTAACTTTGGGTAAAACTGCTGGGGTCATAGTTTAGTGTCAGGGTTTTTTTGTTCCTTAATGTTATGACAGTTGTAAGTTACGCATGGGGTTAAGGACCAATTAAATGCCGTTGAGTTTTCAATACAGTGCTTAAGTCTTTGTAAAGGTCAAGAACGAAGGAAGGAAACACAAGTAAGTTATTGCTGAAGTCAGTTGTCTGGAAATGCAAAGGACTCTGATGAATGCATTCCTTTGTTGCACAATAAGGCATTGGGATTCCTGTCATGACATGTATATTCTCATTAGTAGAGTTTCATTCTGAGAGGGAACTTGCACAATACAGAGAAAGAACTGATACAGAGGCACCAAGCACTTTATCGTAATACGGGTATATGATCAGGGGTAGGAACCATTGCATACCTACTGTAAATTAATGTTTTTATAATCAGATGTTTTGGTTTACAGCTGCATACAATTTATTTTGACATAATTTTGCTATACCCAAATGTTTTCTTTGATATTACAAAACAGCACTACACTGAATTCTTTTCATTTAGTAAAAGGACAGTTCCACAGGTCAGCAGTAAGAGCACTGCAAAACCCATCGGCTGCAAAGCAAAATCTCAGGACACTCCACACTGCCAATTATGATCAATTTTCTCCTTTTCAACCTGTGGTGCCATGTTCAATG